GGACAAGAATCTCTGGTAGAGAAGAAATCATCCCATATCTTTCGTCAGTCGGAAATATGAAACTTAACTGAATTGTATTTGTTTTGGCCTTCGCTTCACGGTGTGTGAAGTGCTATGTTGACGTCTTATGAACGAAAATCACAATCCATTACCGAGCTGTCTCAAACAAATCTAGCTACAGCATTTCCTGGCACATCAAGTATTGAGCGAGTTGGTTGAGAATAGTTAGCAGTAGAAACAGGAAAATTCAACTCCATCTGTCTGGAACGTGTTCAAATCATAGCGAAATATAGTTGCTGAGTATTTCACTTAAGACTTGCGATAACAACAGAAATTTGTTTTTGCAAAATGCGTCTGTCAAATTCCACTGAGTGCGAATTGTCGTCTGATGGTGTGGTTTTCTCGCGTGACAAACCAGTGAGCTGCTAGTCAGCAAGACAATAACGGATATTGGAACATCGCCTCCATCCTGTGTGCATTCGGCAAATTAGATTTGGAGCACGTGCCACAAGTTACGGCTTAGTAGTAGCACTAGGAGAGAGCACAGAGCACCAAAAATAAGCGCTGTCAGCGCAGGATACCGATCATTATCACACGATATTTGTGCGACGGCGCAACTAATCACATCACCTTTCACTCGTGTAGCATTCTCAACTTACAGGTTGCTACCGCATCACTGGCTACTGCCGTTCGGATTTCATCGACCACATGTGGCTCGCCGCCTCACACTCACTACTTTAGCGACGCAAATCCGTATTTGCTTCCTTGTTTTCCGTAGGCACAGTGCAAATCGGCTTGCACTCTTGACACCTGTATGTAGTCGGCTTGATCTCTGATTTTAATACGCTTTCTCATCTCACGAAATGCAGTTCACCCCAAATAAATAAAACGTACTTAGCCATTTCGATCCGTGGCACATATATTTGGTACCCCTGCACGATTTGCAGGCCGGGTTGCGGCGGATGGAGGACCACACACAGGCCCACCATGAGACATCAGCGGAGATTGATCTCCCGTTGGCCATTTTAATGGGCAGGCCAGATTTTGCGAACCGCCAATCCCGCAACAACGACATATTGCAAGCAGCCGAGTAAAATGATACGACACAGCTGGACCCTATCACACATGAAGTCGGGTTAGGCAGGAACATTCCCATCTGGACTAGAAGGCACACGCGATATTCGTTATCGATCGCTTCATTTTCCCCCGACATTTAAGGAGTTCTATATCTTCCAGAAAGCGCATGCTTACGCTTAAGCTACGCTCTTGTTCAACTCAAATGTAAAGAAACTAACTTCGCTCATGCTCACTTGCATTCGTGTTGTCATTCGTCTGCTCGGCAAGATTACAAATTGACACTCGCTCTTGCTCACTTCATCCGTTCGCGTCTAATCGTAGCCTCCTCGAATCTAGTCCACAGTGTTGGACACAATTTGTTTTCACCAGTCTACTTATGAACCGTTACTCAGTCTTGTATATCGTATTTGATGTAAACCGTGTCTCGAATTATCTGGTGGTTGCTGTAGTTAGCTCGACAGTATTTCTTTTGCCGTTCGACATGAGCCAAACACTCTGCACAACGCTCAAACACAGAGGGAGAGAATCACTGCGAATGCAGAAGTGCGACTGCCAACCAATTTTTTTCATAGAATGCAATCCTGCTGACCTTCTGTCATGTACTGCACATTATGTATCAGTGTTCGGATAACCGAACTCGGCATGTACATGTGGTCCCGTTCGTTGTCTAGTTAATGATAGCATCAGTTCCATTAAGTGTGAGTCGTTAGTAGCAGAAGTGAGTATGGGAGATGATGGATAATCGCCGCCATCGGGCATATGTCAATGGACCAGTGATTACGTCGAGATCCAGACAAAATTGATGCAATAACGTTTTGAAGGTCAGTCGCTTCACATTTGTCAGCGCATGTGTGGTTCGGGCGTACACGACAGGGAAGTTATTGTCAATTTGTGTCCAGAAGCAAACTGTCAATGACCGCCGGAATAGATGGTATATGCGAAGCATTGTGATTTAAACTATCTGAGTGTGCAATAAATGAATTGGTTCCTTTGGGCTAAAGGTTTTGAGGATGTGTTCTTTGTGCTTGATTGCTGTCGGCACAGGTGGACGGCCGGGCGTCCTATGTGTACGTGCTTTCGGTCACTCGAGAAAATAGGAAGCAGATAAGCAAATAAACAGCGACATCCGTCTAGATGTAACATTAACATCTGTAATGCATCAGTAATGCGTATTTTTACTAAATTCAATACAATGCACGGTTATCGGCTCCTGGGCGTCGAATTGAGACAACTTTTGCTCACAAATCGAGCACTCAAAATTATTTGGTCGCTAGCCTTACTTTCCTCGTACTGCGTAATGATGCTGTAGAAAACAATATCCGATAAGCAAGGAGGGTGTGTATAACCAAAAGCAATTCCTCGCGGCAAATGTTAAAGCTGTACTGGAAATCGTTTATTACCTCATTGTTACGTAAGCAAATTTTGTCACGTTGGGACCGCAATGAGTACGGAAATCAGTAACTCAAGGTGCACGGGTGGTCATTCCAGCATACACCGATCAGTTACTCGTGCTGTGTGAGGATTGCTGCACAGTTAGCGAAGGAATAGTGGACAGGCGGAGAGTGTGGAAACGTCTTGCTTGGGCACAGTGCAATGATAGATGCGTGCAGCTTACAAACCTATCATCAGATGGTATAAGATAGCAAACGTGAGTAGCTGCAGAATCAGTACAGTTTAAGACAGGCAGTTAATAGCGGTGTAGGGAAAACCGCATAGTGATGTGAGAAAAGCAGATCAGGAATGCGGACTGATGGAAGTGATATGTGTAATCAGCGTAATACTGCCACGGAATGAGGAGGTACCGTTGTTGCTCTTAGTACGATCGGTTTCGACCTCGTTTGAACTCATCAACCGTCATGGGATATTTGCCTTATACCGCAACAAGCAGTGACTAACACGAAGGTGATTAAACTGCTAGGGTGCAGAATTACGCTATAAATTCTTCCATCGTATTGCGTGACACAGCAGAAGTACTTGTTCTTATCATGCTGCACAACAAAATCGGATGCTGGAGAAATCTTTTCGTTTTGCAAAAATTTCGCATTATTTCCGGAGGTGTTCATCTACTTAAAAATAATAAAATCTCGGGAATCATAGAGTAGGAATAAAAGGATTGGTAGTCGGCAGTTCAAGCAAAGTAACACGATTTTCCGTGGAACCGTCTCCTGCGCACCAGCGTCCATGCAGCGTAGTCCCTCGAGGAGTTTCCTCCGCATCTCTGCACCTCATCTCGTCATGCACTGAGGTGGTTTAAAAGCAAGTTAGACGTCATCAGGTTGAATCATATGTTAATGGCTGGCGTTATGAGCAAATAGGTCCTCATCTTGTAGACCCTCTACTTTGAACCCTGTCATAGGGAAATGGATCGTCATTATAGGGCTGTTGTTGAGGAGCATTTAGGCTAACACTTTGAGGATGTAGGTAAATGGACAGAGATAAGCACCCCAACCATTCAGCCCGACTCATATGAGTACAGTATGCTTTCTTCGCCAGTGAGCCTGTGGCAATTTGCCTTGAGTGCGTGTTGCTAATTAGCCTGGAAGCTTTAAAAATCACATCAGGAATTGGCCCAGTCTTGTCAGAAATAGAACGAAAACCACAATAATTTAAATGTGATACGTTACGACAGAATGAGTTGCAGTCTGACGGTTGTCTGCCTAAGCATTTAGCAAGCAACAGACGTGGATAATTAAGCCTCCGAAGTATTTATAAGCAGGGCAATTCCTGGTAGGTTTTCAGGTGATACAGCCAAGTGAAGCCAATCGGAAATAAAAGGAGATGAAAGCAAACGGAACTTTGCCGAGCACGGAAGACTGCGGGGATTAGCTGAGTTGTGACCTCCAGGAAAGAACGAAGGATAGTTGGTAGTGCACAACGAGTACAAAGAAATAAAATGGACAAATTTAGGACAGGTTCTCGTTTCGGCAAGCTCAAGCGTAATATTATACCGGAAATTACTCGGTATTAGACAAAATAATTTATTCCTACTACTAATTGTGAGGGAATCCATCTAAACGGACGACAGAAGAGAAAACCGGGCATCCAGATTATATACATCTTGCGATGGTTCATAAGGATGTCCATTTTGTAGTTTGACTCAATGTATCTCCAAAATTTTCAACTTTGAGAACTGAACGAATAGCCTTCCGAAAATTTATCCCAGATTAAAATTTTTGTACAGTATTTGAAAGTCTATTCCGTAATACGGAGAATCGGTAGAGGAAACAGTTGTCCGACTGGTACGTTTTTAACTTAGTCAGGATTACTTTATAGTTGTTGTTTCTAGTGCAACACATAGCCGGTTGTTTGAGTAGTATTGCTGGATACACTGGATGTACTTTTTGGCATGTGCATCACACAAAACTACAAGCTTACGCTTCAATTGTCACCTCCATAATGGCACAAGCTGTAAAATAACCCATCGATTCATCTATGATAATGTCGTGGAATAGGTTAGGAGGCGTTTAGTGAATGACCGTCGAAACGCTGTATGATGCTCTTGATCAATTTGTCATTGAGATTGGATTGTCAAACAATTGTTGTCGCTCAGAACTCGATACTCCTGATTTCAGCTAGATAATTCGTTGCATATTTTTTACTCTATGCACAGCCGGAGGCAACACTTCTCTAGGGCATTTACGAAACAAAAGGTGTGACTACTTTTTGCCGTATAAGTTAAGTAAAGGCAAATGTACCACTAAACTACAGTGATATCATAACGGAGAGTGCATTGAAATTTAAGCCTCCTAGCATGGAATCTCTCTTCTGATTGGATCGAGTGTCAACAAATGATATTTCACATGGTATTAGTTTACGCGCGTTGAATGAAACATCCTTGATTCGCCGAGGTGAATTCGCTCAATGAGCGTCATTTGTGAGCGTATATATAGAAGGTGGTCGGAGAAGTATCTAATAATCCTAAGATGAGGACATGTTTCGGTCTGGTGCGTATCCGTTTTCAACTAACGTGCTATTTCAATATGTCCGCATATTTATGTCGAGATTACGAATGTTCTAAAAAACGAATTGTCCAACAATGTCAACGAGCCCTGGCAACTAGGAATTTGTTTGATGCCGTGTAATTTTTAGTTGAGTGTATGTAACCATTATCTATGCAGTTTGTTGCGCAGTCGTTAGAATTTCAGGAAGACGTACACATTCCAATGGTTTCGGTCCACCTGTCCATAAATATACTTTAGAAAATGCTGGCATCAAAAACTCTCATTGCGTATTACCTCACATTTCTTTCACAGCTTTTGTTGGCGCTGGTCGCTGTGCGCGCCTCACGAATAACGTTCCCATCCCGAGATGAATGTATCAGTGGATGCGAAAGAACGCGGGCCGGTTATATCCAAATTTGTTTGAGTCGTCGTGATCGGGCTATGTGTAATGCACTCAGGGAAATTAGCGAACCATTTTGCTCATACTATTGCGAGAGGAACTTTCCGTCAACGTCGCATCAGTAGTTTTGTTGCTTCGTCCATTTCGTTTTGTGATTCACACACGCCGAGCAACGAAACAGAAATTTTGTACTGCTTTGTTGGATTTTCTAAATAAATAGATACTCGAGATTGCTTTGTTTTCTACAATGCGCTACTCGGTAAGGTGTAAAATGCACGTAAATTTATGTGCCAGTAAGGAAGAAATTATTATGAAGAATTGTTTTTCTTGATAGCCATAGACATCTATTGGAAGAGTAACTGGTCACCTGCGATGGCTGGTGAACAACGTAACACAGGACACAGCAGATGTTGTAGATGAATGGGTAGCATTATTCCAACTATCAAGCGGGAAATTTTGCGACGCGTCACCAAACGGATGATGGATTCGCATAGCAAGTATTAAATAGGTGAATGATGTTGTTGAGTGCGTGAACACAACAACGAATAATGCACAATGCCCAAGGATTTATGCTGGGAAAGAAGCAGTTGTCTGACAAGTCCCGCAGCACGATGGAGGTATAGCCGCAATTAGCAAAAGATAGCTGAGTTGTCTGTCTGAGCGTTTTTCTAGCAGACACGATGCTGTATAATAGTAGTGTAAGTGGGAATTGATTGCGAACAACGAGAAGGCAAATTTGGGCAAGTTATATTTATTGTACCCCGTGAGAAAAGTAAGTTAAAACGAAAATATTCACTTCCGTACCGCCTCCTCAGGTTTATGTAACATGTTAATCCGGTTTGGGGAATAAGTAATATATTCCGAAGTTGCATGTTTAGGCAACCAAGTGATTGGGGCCAAGGGCAAGATCCAGTCGTTATTTGCAAAAATCCATGGTCAGGGATGAAACAAAGAAGTTTGGGAGAAAGTACTACGGTTGGAAAACCCGAAGACAAAAATAATTCCGCTGACATTCCAGGCGGCTAAACTGCGCATACAATTTCAGAGGGTCACCTCTGAGATTGGTGGTATGGCTGAGTTACAGCAAGTGACTGCATACGTGATTTGGGTCACTCAATTATTGGTAGACTACTATGAGATCGCCGTGCAGCCTTCGTTAGCTGCCACTGCAAACTCCCGGCGACTTCAGCCTTTAAAGTACAACAGAGTTCGTAGGCCCTTCGCGTTCTTTGTGGCCCTGCGTTGTGCGTTCTCTAGCACATCCAATTCACCTTACAATTTAGGTTGACAAGCTTGGATGGCGTATTCAACGTGAGGGCGCACGTAAAAACTGTGCTTCATGGTGAAGATGGATAGCTCGAATCTACCAAATGCTCTCTGCAGTAAGTCGATGTGCCGGTTGGCTCACTTCGCAGCTGTCGCTGACTACTTTGAAAAGTTAAGGTCACTTTGAATGATCACACCAAGATCGCTTTTTTGGGTATTTGTTTGCAATACATGTGACCCAAGCCTATACACGTAGTCATGCCTATGGCGCAATTGAACAATGTGACATCTTTCCACATGGAACTGCAGTGTATTCAGAATTGATCATTTTACAATATTGTTGGGGTCACGCCGGAGCTTTTTGTGGTCGTTCGGTTCTTTGCTCACTCGCCATAACTTGATATAATCCGCAAAGAATAGAAAATCGGAAGTACTTCAACTCGCCAGATCGTTTATGAAAACAAATGAGCGCGGACTGCTTGAACTGACTGCATGGTATGATATCTGTACCTAATTACGAATCCGTTCCCCTATTCGTAAGTTATACGTTTCTATTTACTTCTTTATTGTTTATGTAGGACCGCGCTGGCTTCAGTACAATTTATTCTGCTCACCGCCCTTCATTCTCAGCCCAGTCCGTGCTTTTATATAGGTGTGGTCAGCTCGCGTTTAAACATCCATTTCTGCAGTAACACAAGTTGACTAGTGCTGACTCGCTCTCAGATGGGTGAATCTGGAATGCGTTCGTTGTCACCGCGTTCGTAGGATGCAGGCGCCGGTACATATTTGTTCACCGCTGATCAACTGTGTGCGGCATTGCTTAGTAGTACAGAACTAGAAAGTCGGTTGGAAGCTTTTATTTCTAAGGATGCCGTATTGCTATCCTCAGGAGCCGTTAAGCTAGATCATCAATACAAAATTGTCCTACGGGAGGCACCAGAATTTTCGACGCCTGCTGGTTTGGGTAAAGAATACATTGCAATGGGTGACGTGCACTTCGCTTTAGTTATGGGGGATGAATGATTGCCAACGTCGCGGTAATCCCGGGATCAGTTCCTGCCCGGAAGCTTTCCTGGAAACGCTTCGAGTGCACTTAAAGATCTCGCTGGCCTGCAGAAGAGGGAGTTTGGCCCCTTTAACGGTGATCCGATGCAGTACTGCCTATATATGCGCAGTTTTCAAGTAGACTTCATGGTCGTTACCCATAATCCTGGGATCAGACTCTCCTAGCTGATTAGTTATTTTGAAAGCCACGCTTGGGAGACGATCGAGAGTTGCAGTACATTGGAACCAGATGGTTTTCGTTATGCCATGGAAACGGTAAAATCTAGATTCGGCCACCCTTATCTTATGGCCAGGGCTTATATCGATATCTCAGTCAAGAACCATCAATCAAGGCGGATAAATCTGAAGCACCGCATAAATTGGCTGGGCAGATAAAAACTTGCTTGACTACACTACAACAGTTGAACTAGGAGGTCGACCTGAATGCGATTGTGACGGTGCCTTCGATTATCAGACGGTTGTCTTACGCTCTGCAGCTCGATTGGTTTAAGAAAGCTACCACCATCTTGGGCACTTACGGAGAACCAGCCTTCAGAGACCTGTACCAATTTGTCCGTGATGCCGCAGAAACCGCGGTAACGCAGGCTATGTACTTGAATGAAAACGCTAAAAGACCTGAAGGGCAGGAAGACTCCAAAATCGTGTTAATCATAAAACCGCTTGGTAACTGGAAGATTAGTACCGCAGACCCATAGACTCGCACCATCACGTGTAATGTTCACAGGACATCCTTACCTCGATCAATGTCCTCGATTCCAAACTGTGGACAGTACTGAGCGCTTGCCCGCCGTTTCTGAGAAAGGTTTCTGCGGATCGTGCCACAAAGCCAACCATATTCTGGAAATTGCATATCCTATAGCAATCCATGACACATTGCTTATAGACAAATTTGTTACTCAATCGTACGCTACTTGTTTTTCTTTTAACGCAGACGATACGACCATTTTTACCAACCTCCGGCTCATTACTTTTGTCCACGGTGAATTCCGACACTGAGGTATGCTCTCCTCGCTTCATCCGTCAGCGCCTTCTTATAGCTCAACGAATACAGTCCGCTGTGTCCGACTCCAATTGCCTTCTGATATCCGCGCTTAATTTCGCGCACCGTCTCGGACTAGTATTTACCAGTCCTACAAACTGCCGACCCCGATTCCCAAGCGCGAAATTAAACTTTTTCCTCGTTTGTAGTCTTTGGGGAGTTCGTTCCTTTTCTCGATCGTATGCGTGTATACATTTGCTTCTTGCGTAATTTTAGTGCTTTCCTAGTGTTTTCGCTCATCCTTTAGCTTCGCGATCCACGTTTCCAAATTGGCATCTGAGTCGTTTCGCAGCGCAAACATGCTTACTTTGGCTGTTCCAAATTCCATGAAAAACATCTCTGAGGTTTGTTTTACGCTATTCGAGCTCGAACTAAAAAATAATGGCATTAAAATGGACTGTCCGAGGTACAATCAACTCGTCCCACGCCTTCCTTCGTCGGTTGTGACGCTGGTTGAGGACATTCTACTCTGCCTATCGAATGAGGCAAACAATGAAACTACGAAGCAAGCGATCCTGAAAGAGTTACAGCCCAGCGCACGAGCTTGATTTGAACAGCTCAATGCTCTCAAGCTTAGAGATCACAAGCCGTCGAGGTTGCTCCGCGAACTACAGCGCATCGCTGGTCCTTTATTCTCGAGCGAAGAAGATATAAAGGAACTATGGTTTGCATGTCTCCCAGAGCCGTTGCTGATAATGCTGCCCATGTTTCTGGATACGCCTCTGAATGAACTAGCTACCAAGGCAGACGCTGCGTTCAAACGTCTTCCTCAGCAGCCTATCAGTAACTATGGTGACGTATTCTCACCGATGGAAGCAGAGACTCATATTTGCTCCAAGTCGTCAGGCCGCTCTGACCCTAAAGAGGAGGAAATCGCGCTAATCCGCAGCAGGCTAACAGCAATGAAGGCTTCAAAGTAGTGTATGCCACGGTCAGATGTCGAGCACGTTTTCACTACCGTTCATTGCGGCTCGTCTGTGTCTGAACCGAGTACGTCTCGTTCGAGGAAAAAGTACAGCATTTTCTCTGCACGTTTCCAGTCCGGCAAAACCAGTTCCGCCAAATAAGTATGTTGGTACAACCGCCAAGATGGTGGAAGAGCTAGAGGTTGGCAGGCTCCCTGCATTAGGCACGACTCAGCCGCTTCATGGAAAGAGAATAGCCCGCATAATAGCAAGACCAACGTGTTCTCAATAACCAAAAAAATCGCATATTGTAAGTTAAGGATCCACGTTCTTTCATCACGTTCCTCATCGACACGGGAGCGGAAGTCAGCGTCATCCATACGAACGCGAATGACAAGCACTCAAAGCCTACGTACAGTCAGCGTGCGGCCAACGGTACTCCGATTGTTTCATTCGGTCAGCGCGTGGACCACAATCTTCGTCGAGATTTTCAGTTGGTTTTCTTGGTTGCGTTTGTACCGTTGGCAATTATCAGTATCAAGTTCCTCCGATATTTTGGATTGCTTGTTGATGCTGGTGGCCACAGACTTTTAGACTACCGCACTAAACTAGGAGTTGAAGGCGTTCTTACGGAGGCCTCGATAATTAGTCTGGTTTTCCGAATCACCTAAGTTACTTCAGAATATGCGAACAAATCCGTCCTCATTGTTGCTCTCACCAGGTTACCGTTACCTATATCATTCCTGTAACTGTCATTGCCTGATATGAGCCATCGGAAAGAGATGTCTTTGCAACGCTGTGTTTTACTATCCGCATACCCGAAACTGGTACGACCAGCTGCAGAGCTTCC